CCCTCCTATTTACCACACTTAATTCCAATTAGGCTACAGATAACGTCCTAAGATTTCCTTCCTAAAGTAGGTTTTCCTGTCTGAATCTCTTGGGCAGGAAAGTGGGGCAAGTTGAAGTTGCTTTCTGAGTCTTATTTCTTAAGAACAGCTTAAAATCAATATCCCAAAAAAGGCAGCTTCAGGGTGGAAAAACTTTAATTCCCTTGAATACCTTCTGCTAGAGCCATCAGGAACTCAGCTAAAAGCCCTGAATTTCAGGGCTCTCAATTTTCATCCTCAAAAGCTGTTCTAATTAAAGTCCCATACCACTTTGGGAAAGAATGCCTGCTCAGTTTATCATCAAAGGAAGGAAACTCTTAGAAATCACAAGGAGGGGTAAACCATGTTTCAAAAATGCCAGTAAATGCCGTACACTTTGACTTTCTAAGAATTGGGCTTGAAGGGAACTACTTAGAAAGTAAAGATTAGTATTTTCCTGCCCAGCATAATTTTAACATACCATAGAATTTTAAATTACGTTACCTTTTAAAAATAATAAGGGCCTTTTGCAAATCTATTCCTTTCTGTAATTTATATGGAAAGCTCCACTTGTTTTCATGACTTTAAAAATATGAATAAAAGAGAGATGAGAAAGTTATTTATTATGCAGTGTAATAGCCTTCTGCCGCTAAGGCATATTTAGGAGGGAATACAATGATAAAAGTGGTATCATTGTATAGCACTGTGAAATTATATTAGTGACATCTGAATGAATACATTCTCACTGTAAAAGAAATAATCCATTTGCATACATATAGACTAAATCAGAAACATCTCCCAACTTGCCTCTGAAGCAATTTGGAGAGTAACTTTTTACTCTCCAAAGCAAATGGAGAGTATCCATTTCTATGCATTTCATAAATAAAGAATACATATGTGCACTCTCAAGAGCAAGTTCGCTATGAAGTATAAATGGTATCACCACATAATCATTGTTTTAACTCGTGTGTTGTTTTTATTTTTTTATGTTGAACATGCAGACACATTTTTAAATCTTTTCCTTTATGTCTTCTAAGTTTTGTCTCTTATTTTAGAAGCTCTTCCCTCACTGGTTTTCTAATATAGGTTTAAAGTGGAGATCAAAATAGTCAACTGCGACTGAGCTGCAGAGGCTTTTAGAAAAGGGCCGCCTGACGGCGACTGGAGGGGTCAAGAGCAGGCTGTCCTGGCCAGGTTGTGAGTCACTGCCTCTTTGGCCTCCTCTGGGCGCTCCTTTGAGCATCGTCTCCCAGGCCCCTCCCGCTTCCTGCCCAGAGTCGTCTTCACTGCTGGCTCGCTCTTTTTTGCTTTCTAGGGGACAGCGGTGGTTTCCAGGTAAGTGGAGCGAGCCCACGGAGGGTGACGGACGGGTACTAAGAATGTGGTTTCTTTTAGAATGTGAGGGTTCAGGGCCTGGGGCTGTATCCTAAACAATTGGAATGAGAAATAACCTCCAATTTTACGCTTAATTCAGTTCAGTAGAGTCAGAGGAAAAACTGGTTTTGGTGCTTTGGAAACTTGATCAAGCACCAACATTTTGATTAACTGTCAAAAGTGGTCAATGATCTAAATCTGCCTTATAGTCAAGATAAGAAGAAAAAAATGACAAAATCTGCCAAGAAGGTATGGTTAAATTTTGAACATTCAAAGACCAATTCTCTAGATTGTGTATTAGCCAAATTATTTTTATTCTTTTCACTTTATATTGTCGTCCCCCCCACCAACCTTACTGAACTTTAACCTTTTCTAGCAACTTAAGATGGACAAGGGAGAAAAAAAAGAGATGAGGTTCCATTTAGCTAATTTTTCTACTTACAATGCAGTCATATCTTATGTGAAATGTTAGTTTCTAAAGGGACACCATAAAGCCATAGTTATGTATGGTCAAAATTATTATTGAAAGTTCCTTCAATGGATCACAAGAACTGGGATACTCCCTTTTTTTTTCTTTTTTTTCTTTTTTTTTAACATTTGGAGACAGGTTAATGGAAAATAAGTACCTTTAAACATTAGACTCATAATCTGTGCAGTGAGATCAGGACCAGCTATATAATATTTGAGGTCCAGTGCAAAATGGAAATGTGGGGCTCCTTGCTTAAAACATTATTTCAAATGTCAAGATCACAGCAGCAGAGCATTAAACCAACTGTGGGGTTCTTCCAAGTGGAGGGTCTTCTGCAATGGCACAGGCTGTACATCCATAAAGCCAGGCTGGGTAACAAGCTTGGAAACTGGGTAAAATCACTGTCAGTGTTTAAATTCTTTTCTTGCGCTCCCCACACCCTGTCCCGTCTGTGTAGTATAGTTGAACTTGCATTATGCCAGTTCAGCACAAAGCACAGCTCCAACATACAAGTTAAATGGTTGAAGAGCTGCAAGTCCATACTAAAATAACAATTTTGGATTTCCTGATTTTTTTTTCCTCAAGGATTCATTGTAATTTAAGACTCAGGTGTGTAAAAGGAAACTTAGTATTTACATTTCTTTACTGAGCAAAATTTTTGACATGTCCTTACTCACCGAAAACAATATAGCAAATTTAGTCTATTGTGAAGTTAATAGGAAAAAACAAACTGCATTACCATGAGTTCCCCAGGTGAGTTCCCCCAAAAGCTATAAGAATTAGGTGTGATAACATCTTCTTCAAATAAAAGCCTAGTTACTTTACTTCCTAAAGAGGTTGTCTTTTCAGACTCCCCCCCCCCCCCCCCCGCCCCCCGGCCACCCCACTCCCCCAGAAGGTCTTGAACATAATCTGAGCAAGGAGGATTTTGTTCTACAACTGCCTAAGCAGTCTGGACAAGAATGTGATGCAAGGCTTATTTTTAAGAGGAACTGTGTAATATTTTACAGCACTCTAGTTTTTCAAAGTGCTTTTAATATCCAAGTCAGGCTAAGTGGCAGTTGGTCAGATGGTTGACCAAAAGGTTTTCAGGTAGCAAGTTCTTTAATGTCAAAGTAACAAAAGATTGTGTTTCCAGGATATTTTCTCTCCCTGGCTTAGGTCTCTGATGTTACCCCACGTTTTCCACCTCAAGGTTCTGAACCCCGCACATGTTGAAACTGAATTCACCTGCTTTGATAAAAATTGCTTCCTTGTGGTCTTGAGAGTTGTGTATTTGAGCTTTATGCCCAGGGTCAAGCAGTGGTCACCCAGGTAGACTGGTCAACTCTTGACTCATGCTCACCTGCTCCAAGTTATGTAATAAAGCAAAACAATACTTAAGCTCCTACAAAGCTAACAAAGGAAGCAAAGCTGCAATGTGTCATTGTCACAGTGTTCAGAAGTTTGAGGGATATTTTTGGTTAATCTTTCTATTGTGGAGATTTTAGGGTGTTGATGGCAGTTGTGTGGTGGTTGTTATTTCGCAAGAATTGAAGTTAGAGGCATCTGTTATCCTGACTGCTGATTCCAACAAACTGTATAAACAAGGGCATGAAAGAATCTGGAGAGAACTTGGGTGGCAACAGTATTTTGTCATTAATCTCTTGATTTGTATCAAGTTGTATATTTTTAGAGAAGGGAGGAGAGAATGGTGTCAGGAGACACGAATACAAATTTATACTGATCATTATTAGATAAGTTTGTTCAGAGGGGTTTGCCAACGAGTTTCAGTAACTAAGACTAATTGACTGCTTACTGTGTACAACTCTAACCATTCACATACTTTCTCTCATTTCATCCTCACAATAACCCAATGAGGCAGTCATCTTCGTTATCCCTACTGACAAAGATCTCCTGGGTAGCAAATGTCAGAGCCAGGGTTTGAACTCAAGATGAATCTCTACTGTAACACTAAACTATTACACTTTAGGGTAACTGCCTTTCTGCCCTCCTTTAAAATGCTGCCTGTCTGTTTTTTTTCCTAGAACCAATCTTGCCTCCCCAAGCCAGACATGATTTCAACACTAAATAAAAATACTTCAGCCTATATAAAATTTACTTCCATTCCTGCATGAAACTATCTCCTAAGTAACACCAATTTACACCTGGCAGAAGATAGAGCGGTTTTCATGTGCCAGGTTGGGAGAAGGGTGTTTCTGTATCCCCTGAAGCCTGCCCACAAGAACTAAGCATTAGGCCTGACAGTACAGAGCCCATCCTGGCACTGCTTATTTACATTAACATATGTCGAAACTTCTCCCGGACATAGAGCTAGGTGCTGCCAAGAACCCTTAGGGGAAGTAAGATGCTTTATCTTTTGCAGGCACACAAGCCTACTCTTCAGAGAGCCTGGGTGGGTGTGCCAAGCAGGAGTTAATCGCCTAGTCCAGCCGTATGCAAATCTGGACCCGTGTTTATGCGGAGGTGCAGACACAAACGTGGGGGACACTGTTGGTTGCTGACGTGCGTGGAAACGCACTTGCCACACTTCGTTTGGGCTGTCTCTGTAAGCGTCTACCGTATGACAGCACCCAATTTGGATCGCCCTGTCTAGATAAGGGGCACTCGGGTAGTATAAGTTCCACCCGCGGCAGAGGGGCTTGCAGCAGTGCCCACACGCTGGCGCACCCCCGAGGACCCTAAGGGGGTCAGGTCAATCAGCGCTTCTGAAGGCTTCGCCGCGCCCCCTTCCTCGCCTCCGACTTGGCCCCGCCCCCAGAGCCCTGACAGGCCCCGCCTCCAACGCCCGGAGCTCGGGGCTGCAGAGCTGCCCCAGTTCCGTAAACACTTCTCTCCCCGCCCCTAGGAGCCCCCGGACTGCACCACTCCCACACCGCAGGGGGGAGTGTTCCCTGTTGCATCCAAAACACCTTCAGCCCAAGCTCGCCTCAGCTTCTTTCATCCGAACGTGCGGAAACACATTCTGTGATAGTGAAATCCGTCAGAGCTCCGCCAGCGGAGCCTGGAATGCCCTGGCTTCCCCTCGCTCCTGCGCTGACTTCCCCCCACTCGCCGGTTAAGTGATGGTCGCGCCGCAGCTGTCTCCGCGGAGTCCCTCCCGGCCCTTTAAATACAGCGTGGGGCGGGGGGTGGGGGACGGGGAGTTTTCCAGGTGCCTGTGTTGGCCTGGGTGAGGGACACCCAGAGACCCTTGACCCGGGCACAGTCAGTCGTCTTTCTCCTCCGCCTGTCTCCGCGCGGGGCCGGTGCATATCCGTCCCAGGTGAGAGGGTCTCCGGCTCTGAGGTGAAGGGCCCAGGGCGACGGAGGGGGACATGCTGGCTGAGGGCAGCCTGGAGCCTCCCCGCTCCACCTTAGAACTCAGTCCTGAGACGCCGGGTCCGGAGCGGAGCGTTAAAGCCCGGCTGCTTGCTCCCCTCAATCCTCTTGTTTGCCCTCGCACCGCCGTCCCGCGTGGAAGCTGGGCGCAGGCGCCGAGCAGCCACGGCGGGGGGTCGGGGTGGCCGCGGGCTTCGGGTCCCGGAGGCCGCCGGGTCGCTGCGGCTGGGCCGCTGTTTAACATCTCGCTGGGCCCGTGCCAGCGACCGCGGTGCGAGCAGCTTCCCACCAACTCTCCGGGAAGGGACGCCCTCTGGCCTGCGACCCCCCGGCCCCGCCGAAGGGGCTGAACCTCGCCGTGGTGAGGGCCGGGTGGGGATCCGAAGCGTATGTTTGGGGTTTGTTGCCGGGGTTTCCGCGGCGCTGGGCTCGGCCTCCGCCGTCCCCTCCCCCCAAGGGTTTGTTTTGACAGGAAACTGCTGCTGGAGTGGAGAGGCTGCGAGAGGACTTGGGTGTGGGGGCGGGGGTGGTCCGGGCCGACTCCGGGGCGTCCCCTCGAGGGCGCCCTCGCTGGGGGAGCCAGCCGGGCCCGGGGCGCAACCCCTGGCCTCGCCGGGACTGCTCGTGCTTCCCAAAGCCTGTCCTGCTGGTGGCACCACTGGGGTTAACAGTAATGATTTGAGGTGGCGCGTGGACAAACGAACGTGGTTATGTGCTCTGGGTTTTCGTGAGTATTAGGAAAAACTGTTCCATTCCATGAGCGATTTCACAATGGTATAAAGTTTCCTTTTAAATTGAGCGTCGTTAAATGCATAACTCAGGTGAAAACAGAGAGAAGTGATTGATAAATTAGTGTGTGGGTGACTAGGGCAACTTAGAAACAGGTGTGAAGAGTGGTCCTCAATGACTACAGTTTGGGAGATGCTGCCTTGGATGGCTGTCCTGTTACTTTTTCCTTGAAGAAGCGAGACAGGCTGTCCTTGTCCCCGTGGTCCCACCAGTCCCCAAGATCCCCAGCGTAGAGACCTTGCTCTTTGCTGCCCGCCAACCATGATGGGGCTCCGCAGTGCTTCCCACTTAGGGGGCTCCCTGCTGCCTCTCCGCCTTGCCTCCAGGGTTCGCACATCACCCTGGCAGCCCACAGGGTGGCCTGACTCGAAGTGGCCCAGGGCCAAAGATACCCAGTCATGTGTGGAAGTAGCTTCAGTGCCACTTTGTGGGGGGGGAGGGTCGAGGGCCCCAGAGGGCACAGGTGCTAAAAACAGGGCATCCAGGGGTGGAAGGAGAAGTGTTTTCAAGTATGAAAAGTGCCTAGAAATTCTCCTCCCTGATGCTGTCATGTTATATGTACTGTGAACATCTGCTGTTTTAGACAATGACTGGCTTGTTGGCTTTTATCTAGCTCTTTGTTGGCTCTAATATGATGAAGACCCGTGTTCTCTAGATGAATGGAACAAGCACCTATCTCTCTGCTCTGTGGTTTTTGCTTTGCTGGTGATGAAAAACCTTTTAGCACTGCTGTTTGGGACTGGTTCTAAAGCAGCGTTTTGCAGAAGATGGAGATCTTCCACACCATCTGCAGTTTTCCCCCACAGCCCAGGCTTACTCCACCGACTCCTTGCCCTCTACTCCACATATGGACATGCTTGTCCTGGCACCAGACGTGGATTCAAAGATGATACCCACTAGATGTTTCTTGAAATTTCTCTTTTCTGTGACAACCTTAACTGGGTGGGTTCCATTCCTCAGGGCGCTGCTGGGTAATCTTAGCGATTCCCTTCAAAACCTTTTGGACTTACACTAGTTGTACCCAGTTAACCCTTCTGAGATTTAAGTTTTAACTAGGGCTTTTGCAGTGCTTAAAGAATGGCTCCCTGATGGAGGATTTTCAGTCCCTGGGTGGGGGGTGTTGAGAGTGAATTTGGACAATAGACTCTCTCAGTGATGCCCTTCACGGTGCAGCCCTTGAGCAGCCCCCCTGGGGTAAGGTCTGCTTGGCACCACATGTGCGTGTGTCCCCGTGGTGATAGGGAGATCGATTGGCAGAGTGGGAGTGGAACGAATATGAGCAGCACGCCAGCTTTTCTCCAGCCATCCTGGAGTGATGGAAAGCCTGGGCTTTAGGGATCCACGACCTGGACCTCCGTGGCGCTGCTGCCACTGCAAATCGTTGGGCAAGTAATGTAACCTCTCTGAGCCTCGGGTCCTTATGCATAGAATGGAGATAATAGCCGTACCTTAGTTAGCAAGGTTTTAATGAAGATTCAAGGAGAGAAAACTTCTAAAGCACTTTTCATGGGGGCTGGGTCATAATAAGCACCTAATAACTATTCACTTTGCTTGTTATTATTTGCTATCAGTGAGCATTGAGAGGGCGAAGAGACAGAATGTAACTGTGAGTCTTCGCTAGTTTGAATTATTGGTGCCTTAGAAATGTGTTGTATTTCTAAGGCACTGGGAGTAGAGACCTAGCTCCTCCCTGCAAGCTGCTTAAAATTTAGTGGGGAAGCAGATAGGCGGAAGTACTTTAAGTGACTACTTAATGAGAATATGAATAATGCGAGTGAGGCTGAAGAGGAGGAAACCCCAAGTTGTCTTATGAATGAGTGTGGCTTAATTTGTCCATCAATAATACTCACAGAGCTCTCGCTCTATCCCAGGAAGAGTACTAAACTCTCAGAGGCTAATTTAGATGAAGTGAGTGGTAATATCAGGGAAAGCGACTTTGAAGTTGTAACATTTAGTTTCAAATCTGAATGACAACAAGGAACCCATCTTGTGATCAGGGAGAACATCCCAGGAGGACAGAACAACAGGTGCCATTGCTCTCAAGTAGGAAGTTGGGCTTGTCTGAGGAACTCAAAGAAGGCCGTCGGGAGCAGGGAAGGTTCACCGGAGAGCGGCACCGGACGAGGTGGGCAGAGGCCAGGTCGCAGAAGGATTGTAAACCGCTGCCAGGAGACTTCTTGGGAAAAGGGAAACCACCTGGAGAAGAACCCTTAAAAGGGATGATTTATTTTTCCTCTTTGGAAGGGCTCCAGCCTATTTCCTGTTTTATTCTGCAGGCACTCTTCAAACAGGACATTGGGACAAGTCTGACTCTATAGAACTTTTGTAATAGAGTGGTATCTAAGCTATCACAATAATGGGACCAATCAAACTCTAAAAACTGCAGGAGATTGGACTGTTTCAAATTAGACTTGATGTTTCAGTTTAATACTTCTCTTTTAGCCTTTTGCTCAGAAATAATTTTAAACTTATAGACAAAGTTCCAAGAACAGCACAAAGAATTCCCTATTGTCTGTCTACCTTTTACTTATATTTGCCTATTAACATTTTGCTCCATATGCTTTATTGCTTTCTCTTTTTCTCATTTCAATAATGTGAGAGAAAGTTGCATACATCATACTTTATACATAATCACAGTACATTTATCAATTTCAGTAAATTTAATGTTGTAAGACAGAGGTAGGTTCAAGTACTGTAACACTGTTCTCCATTGACCCAATAATGCCCCCCCTCCTTCCGGTACAGGATCCAATCTAGACTCCTCTATTACACTCACTGTCCAATATCTTTTCATCTGGGACATATCCTAGCCTTTCTTTGTTTTTCTGACATTGACATTTTGGGAATTCATAACTTCTTTTAGTAAGAATAAAATAATAGTTGATAATCTATTACTAGGAGCTTAAGTACTTGACACAGACTATTTAAATTAATCTTCACAACAATTGAAACCAATCTTCCTTCCACCTGTTATGAAACACAGGACTAGCCCCCTCAGGTCCCTGCACCCATTCCCTCCTCTCTAAAATATCAGTGGCCATTCTGCCATTCATTCATCCATTTATTCATTCAACAAGAACTATTTAAGTGTCTTCTGCATCCCAGTCTTTGGGGTAATCTTGGAAGGAATAATATAATTGCATTTATTATTACTAAACATGGAACACTGCGATGAAAAATGTGATTCTCTTTGAATTGTGACCTAGTGTAGTATTGGAGGATTTGCTTGGAGTTATCTTCTGTTTTCACCTTTGACTTCACCTTTGGCCTGTGAGTAAATCCTCCAGGTTTGAGATGTGTTCTTGAAGAGTTGAGTGGTTTGCTTGTGAGTTACAGTGGTGAAGGTTAAGTAGATCTAAGTATGTTAGTATGAGTAGCATTACCTTTCTTAAAGAATCAGCCTGGTTCCATGATCACTTGTTTTAAGAGAGAATCCAGCATCGTTTTAAAAGCAGTCTAATTACCCTCAATGTTTTTTTGAGTTAAGTGGCATTGTCCCCAGACTACTTACATAGAAACCCGAGAACAAGAAAAGAACAGATGTGAAGGAACTTACAGAAGACCGTGTACACCAGGATGGACCAGTTGCTTTTGGCTTTTGTATTTCAAACAAATGCAAGAGGTCTGTCCTAGGTTAACTACCAGTCTTGCATATCTGTAGGATATGTTTTTATCATCATGGGATAAAACTTTTCTTCCCTCTAGAGTTTTTAATGCCTAAAATGATGATAATAACAACAAAAGCAAATAATCCTGTTGATACTGTGTCAGACATTGTCCCAAGCACTCTACACTGACTAAATGAAATCTCACACCAACCCTATGAGTTAGGTAGTATTAGCTTGCCTATATGAGGAAACAGGCAATTTCCTAATAAAGTAATAATGGACATTTGGCTTTGAAGAAAATCCTCTGCTTAGATGCACTAAAGCCCAGTGTGGGAGAATCTTCTATCAATTAAACAAGTTTCTCAACACTTTGAAGTTTTTAAATGTTGCTTTCCCTGTGATAGAAACTCTGCCTTCAGTGAATTGTTGGGGAAAAAGTGCAGTTTTTAATTATGTCTGCAATGAGCACATTTAATTTCTTAGAACTTCTAGTGATGCCTCATGGACTCTGGATTTATAGCATTTTAGCAATTTCTAGCTGAAAGGGAACTTACAACTACCCAACTGGCTCAGGAAAATGAGGTGAACAGAGCAGATGAGATGTGCAGAAAGCCACACAGGAAATTAATGACAGTCTCAGGCCTCATGTCCTCAACTTCTAACTTCTCAGTTAGGTTTTAATTTTTTAAATCTTTGTACTTTGCTGCCTTGTTAAATGCAATTTTAAAACCTATGAAGTGTGCTGTTCAGCTGGAGTAGAAAAATGAAATGGGCAGTTCATAATTATAATGGGGGAACTTATGGTTAAATTAATCCAATGGATTAATGTATGAATTAACTTACTTCATAAATTCCCATGGATGAAAGCTTTTATTCACCATTGCTTGGAAAAATAGCCAAAGTAAAGAGAAATAAGAACAGGCCATACATAGCACAACTGTTACAGTGGAATAACTGAAAAAAAAAAAATAAAGCAGTAACAAAGTTGAAGATATTCAAATAAGAATGTGAGAAGGTCCAGGGAATATTAAGTCTTAAACCTAAGAAGGTAGGTTTCGGTGTGGGTTCTCTGCTCTCGTGCTTGAACTTTGGCAGTACCAGGACTGTGTAAATGTGTAGTGATATCAGTTTGCAAATGTTCTGGTTGAAGCTGCACCAAATGGGATTCAAAGATTCCAATTCAGCTGACACCGAATGAATGCTTGTCACATATCTGACACTGGCAGTGGACGAGACACAGTTACTGCCTTATTAAGGAGAGTTGGAAGTAACCATGGGAGAAAAAAATCACTGTACAGGTGACTAAGCACTGGAGATATAGGAGATGTGCCGCCAGTGTACAAAGAAGAGTGCTTTTAGCTCCAGCCAGAGAATAGGGGGAAGGCTTTCTGGAGGAGGTAACATTTTTAAGAAATGCCATCAATGAGAAGTAAACTATTATTGCAAAGAGACAAAGCTAGAGGGAAGGGCAAGCATTCACTCCATTTAGGATCTGGGGTTTGGTGGAAGTGAAAGGATTAGAGCACAGGCTTTTCTTTTGTCCTCTCCCCTTCTCCCCAAGCAGACAGGAGTTAAAAAGCTCAAGTCAAATCTAGTTTGCATGCAGTAAAGGAGGCTTGGCTATTTTATAGCCTGTGTTCATGGTGGTTGGCCATGGGACTGTAGGATAAGGTGAATGCCTCTACCTGGTATCTTCCTGGCAGCTACATGGGGCTCCTCGCCCTTTGGTCTGCAGAGGCAACTTCTAAGTTAGTGGTTTTCTGTTGGTGAAAGTGGTGGGCCAAGCAAAGGTGCGTTTCTATGAGTGGCAGGTCTGAAGAAGTATGTTTAGGTGAGGTCTGGTACAAATGCCCTTGAGCTTTTGACCTTAACCAGTCCCTCTCAGGCCCATTCTTGTCTACCACCCAAGAGACAAAGAATGGCACTATTTCTCTCAACAAAGGCTAGACTCCCCCTTAATCCTAACCCTGCCGGCCTCTCCTTTCTCATGTTTCCTCAGCAATGTCTTGTCTTGCCTTTTTTTGAATTCTAGCATCTGGCACACACAGTCTTAGGTAAGTGGACTTGAGAACCATGAGAGCAGGGTCCTGTCTGTTTTGTTCACTGTTATTTTCCCCAGTGCCTGGTACAGAGTAGGCACTCAATAAATATGAAAGGGATCATTGCAGAAACTGCAGGAACTTCTAGGCATACTATGCGTAGTTGTGGTTTCACATTCTGGCACTTTAAAAGCTCTGCGTACCGCATTGCATGAGCTGTTTCAGGTTTAAAGAGACTCAGTGAACCCTTATTATCATTACTGTCCCTTTAGGATTTGAGATGCCTTTCCCCCTGTTGTCAGCTGACACCACACACATATGGAGGCCAGCTCTCTCCCGGGCCTGGCCGAGGCTCCTGGGGTTAGGCCTGGGCATGCCATGTGCCCTGGATCTCCTTTCTAGGGGACAACTGGGCTCAACTGCTCTGCCCTGCGGGGCAATCTGCTGTTCCAGAATGTAGAGTCAAGGGACTGGCTTTGCGTCATGCTCTGTCTTCTTGTCCCTCAGAGTTTGTACCTCGCTCCAACCTGTGAATCAGGATCTTTTGTGCCTGTTTGTCCATTGGGTGGTAGTGGGTGCTTTGTAAATTGCCAAATACAAACGAAATATCAGTCCTTAGTCTTCATATCATGGCAGTTCATGGGAAAATGGAGACGGGCCAAAGGACTTGCCAGTCAGAGATTTTAATTAGCCTTCACTTTTCCCCAGGAAGCTCACAGACAACTAATGAGGCTGATTTCAGAAATATTTTATTCAAAACAAAGATATAGGAACAATGACAATAGCTAACATTTGAGTGCTATACTAAGCACTTTAATAAGATGAATCTGTTTCATCTTCAAGTTATCCTATGATATTAGTCCTTTAGCCCAGTTTTACTGATAAGGCAGGTATTATAGTCACTTCCTCAAGGTCACATGACAAAAGACCAAATGAGCTTCTAACCTAGGCAGTCTGACTGCAGAGCGACTTTTACTCTTACCTTCCCATGTTTCAGGAGCCCAGGAGGAGAGACTGTTCTCTGCTTTGTTTTTTAAGGATCCGTGATTACTGAGAGTCCACATTTGTGCTGGGTATGTGCTGAGTTAAGCTCACACCTATGGCTGTGGAATCCCTTTTCTGGAAGACAGTCTTGAAGGCCTAGTGATAGCCTGGCTGGGGTGCTGTGGGAGGCATGAGGTCACCTTCTGGGAGCCTTCCCAGTGCTCTGACACGTGCGGCACGGGTGTCTGCTCTGGAGGAAGCATCAGCACCACAGAACACAAAAGTATCACAGAACATCGACACAGGGTCTATTTGTCTGTGCAGGTACTATCTCTTTACCCCACACTCAGGTGACACAAAATGCCCTTCAATGACGAGAAGCAGTGTGTGGGTGAGGACCAGCCCAGCGATGCAGATTCTTCCCGGTTGTCCGAAAGCACGGCTTCGCTCAGTGACTACGAGTGCTCCAGGCAGAGCTTTACCAGTGACTCCTCCAGCAAATCCAGCTCTCCTGCTTGTAAGCTGACAGGGGAGCAGAGCCTGGGGGGAGTGGGGTGGTTCTAGGCCTGTGTGTGGGTTTTGAAACTAAGAAATGACTGAGCCCTCACTGGTGTGGCTCAGTGGGTTGGGCGTCACCCCAGGAACTGAAAGGTTGCGGGGACTGGGTCATGCAGCGGGGGGTGGATCTATGTTTCTCTTACACATGGCTGTTTCTCTCCCCCCCCTTCCCCTCTCTCTAAAAACAAATAATTTTTTTTTTTTTTTTTTTTTTTTTTAAAGAACTGACTGAGATCAGAGTACACAGACTTCCCTTCTTTCCAGATATAGCGGAATTGTACTGCAGAGGCCTTGCTGCTATCTTGTACACGCTCTCCGGAGTAAATAGTCACTAAAACTTACAACCTGCTCTTGTTTTCCCATCACAGTGTCTGACCTGCTCTGATTTGACTATAAACCAACCCCACCTGTCTTTCTCAAGTAGTGGTAAACCAATCCTTGACATCACTTCTTGGGCCACATTCAAGGATAAATTCAAATTGGTCTTTTCTGATAATTTCTGATTTACATAAAAGGAAGGTTGCCCCAATTCAAGGGTCAGGGAGGAAGTGAAATAATCTAAAGGGTTTTCTGCTGATTTCAAAAACTGTTGTGCAAATCACTCTAGAAAAGTGCCCATGAGGAGAATTAGTACACTAGGAGGGTGAGGAAGATTTCAAAGAGTGGCCCCAGTGAAGGGAGACATCTTTTTGCCCTTTTTTGTTTTGGTATGTGGAAGCTAGTGATGTGTAAAGCAGGTGCATTTGTCTTTTTTTATTTTAAAGCTTTTTAAATTAGCATTTTTGTATAGAAAATATAACACTTAAGCTGACAAAGCAAATGCAGGAAAAAAGCAACTAATGTTTACTATGATCAAATGCCCACTTCAAAAAAGTTTGTCCATTTGTATTTATTTTAATTTGTACATTCTCATTTTTAAAAATTGGAAAGTCCCTAAGTATAGAGAAAAGAACACATGGCCTATAATGTCACCCAAAGATGACGGCTGGCAGTGCTATGTCATATCTTCATTCTTCACATAGACATATGTTTGCGTATTTGTATGGAATCTTTTCACTTAGTATTATAACTAGAACATTTACTCATGAAAAAATATTTTTAAAACATTATTTTTTATGACTACTACTTTTTCAAGTGACTATATGATAAATTTGTTTAACCATTGATTTTACATTAGACATTTAGTTTGTTTTTTTTTTCCTGTTACAGTGTTTTATGAACATCTTGGTGCATAAAGCCTTTCCAGGAATTCCTTTAATATAGTTGGATTATTGAACCAAAGGGTACAGACATTTTTAAGGAGACTCTTAATGGGACAGAGAATTGGCAAAAGAATTTTCTAGCAGCCACTCAGTTTTCTGTGCTTTTTCTTACTCTTTATATTATACACAAAGTTGATGCCTCTAAAAGGGTACCTAAGAATCCTGAAGAAGAGTTTTACTAGTTCTGTATATTGCTGTTTTTTCCTCTTCCTCCTCCTCTTAAAATTATTTTAGGCAGCAAAATATTGCTAGGCAGTATGGTTATTTGAGGTAATAATTTCCAATCAATAGGATATATGAGTTCCAATAGTGATTTCAAAAGGACCTGATTTATTAGAATAATCTTTAGAAATAAATAGAATAATTATTTACTACTTCCTTCTGAGATGTACATCATGAAGCTTATCAGGTTTTATTTTAATCGTCTGCATTTATTGACTTCTTACTAGTAGTTCTTTACCTAAATTATCATATTTAATCACCTCAGGACAGCCCTGTAGGGAGGTCAGTCATGTCTCAGTGAAGTCAAATGACAACTACCAATTGACAAAACTTAGAACCATACTTAAGCGCTATGCTATATACTGCATATATTTTTAGAAATTATTAGTTTTTAAAAGTCAGTTATTTCATATTAAGTCTTAAGTTAATGAGAGTTATGAATTACAAATAAAAAGTCATCAATTTCCTCTATATTACATGTAATAAATGCAAATATAATAGACACAAAAATGAAATGATTTAATTTAAAAATTAACAGCTTATATTTATAAGATTGTTTCCATAACATTGAAAATTTATCAATGCAGTAACTGCAGCTATCAAAGGAGTTCTTAAATTTTTGAAGACAAATGTTAAGCAGGGGAACCCACCTATATTAGTATATATTTTCTTACTTGTAAAACCCCCCAAATATATGTTGGAATAACTTATACTCTAGCTGCATCATGGGGCTTCATTGGATGACAACTTCTCTTCTACAACATTAACTGGTTTTTGCTTTTCTCAACAGCAAGCCCTCCGAGGGTTGTAACATTTGATGAAGTGATGGCTACAGCAAAGAACTTAGTAAATTTGACTCTTGCTCATGAAATTGCTGTGAATGAGAACTTTCAAGTGAAACAAGCTGACCTCCCTGAGAACAGGTAACCTGGAGGTGTTTGTTGTGGGTAAACTGTACTGCAGAGTGGGAGTAAACATTATCTGGTTCTCTAACAAGGTCTTATACTTGTTTTTAAAACCATTCCTCTGGGGTACATGTTTCCCATAATCTTTAAAACTCAGCTTATGTGTCACTTCCTCAGGGAAGCTTTTCCTGACATTCCTGAGCCCATGAGACTGCATGACATCCCCTTGCTAAAAACTCCTGTAGTTCCCTCTACCTTCCCTTTGTTAAGATGTCATAATTTTATGTTCAATGTCTGTCTTTCCCACTTGATCCAAAGCACCATTAATGGATGAACTATGTCTAACTGTTTGCTCTATCCCTGTTACCTAGCAAGAGTACCTGACATATAATACATGCTCAAGAAATATTTGCAGATCGATTAATTAAAAACCAGTATTTACACTGTAAAAGGTAAATGCAGCTGAGTTGCCAAAGTGCTAAGAAAAGGCAATCCAGAAGCCTCTGGATGTACAATCGAAGTTTTAGCTGCACACACTCCCCTATTTAACCTCGCCACCAAAGCCCCGCTAGTTATAGATACATCCTTATGTCCTATTTTACCCTCTCTGGCTTCAGTGGCTGGAACAAAGAATAGAAAAGCCATGTGCCCATTAGTACAGATAAATCATCTGTAGAGGCAAAGTTGGCTCATGGGCAATGGCACCGAACCTTCAACCTTACAGTGAGTGCCTTTTATAAACCAGGAGGCGTTCTCTCTATCACCTACAACAACATAGACTATTTGATTCCATTCAAAACTTTTCTGTTTGTTTTAAAGCAGGACAATAGTAAACATAAAAGTTTTTAAAATATAAAATGTGGATCAGAGTCCTCCTGCTCCTGGGGATGTTCCTAATAATCCTTAATATTTTTTTAAGATTATTGGCCACTGTAGGTGTCTCTGTTTGGTTTTCTCTGGTAACTGCATTTCATCATGATGCTTTATACCAGCTCTATTGCTATGCCTCTATTGTCTCTGGACTAGTTCAGTCCCAACTAGTTGCCCCTTCTCCATCCTTAGTTCCTCCACATCCACATGGTAGCCACAGAGACTTACTAAAAGGTAAATCAGGTTAGATCCTTTCTTTGCTTAAAATCCATGAATCATTTTCTAGTACACTTAGAATCAAAATATAAGCTCTTTGGTGTGGCCCGCAAGGGCCCTCCTTTCCCAACTGTGTCTCTTCATCCTGTACCCCCTGCCCGCTCTGCTTCAGACACTGGCTTTCTTGATGATCTCTGGGGGACCGGCTTCACTGTGTCCCGGGGATTTTGTTCTTCTTTCTTCTTTTCCTCTGTTTGTTCCCTAGATCTTTACCAGCTCCTTTCTTCTCCTCATTGAAGTCTCAGTTCAAAGATCACTGTCTTAGAGAAGCTTTCTTTAGCCATTCAGTGAAATTATCATCCTCTTCATCACTATCTACCACATTGTCTGACTGTGTCTTCCCCATACCTCTAAAATTGTCTTATTTATTTTTAATATGGCACTTTTTTTTTGTTTCTCTTTTCCTGCTAACATATACACATTTTGAGAGCAGAGACTTCGTTTCACTATATCTTCAGCGTCTAAAACAGGGCATACCACATATTGAATGCTGAACATTTATTGACTGATAAAAATGTTTGAAGTTAATACTACTGTTTTTTATGAAGTACAGCAACAGGCAATTAGGGGATGTTTGTACTTTAAATTCAAAGTTACAAATATATGCTGTAGTCAAGGTGCTTTAGGATTAGACCCTGGGGCTTGAATTTGGACTCTGCTGAGATGTATCTGAACCCCACATCCCCAAGGATGAGGTGGGGACTGTGGTACTCACTTCAAATGCACGCTCAGGGGCATGCAAGTGCCTTGAGCATACATTTTTGGATACCATGGAAAATGTGAATCCTCTTCCCTTCGTTTTCGTGCATAGCTAGAAAAGGTGAGCAAGGGGAACAACATACAGAGTTAGGACACATTACCTTTGTTTAAAAATGACAGCATATTAGGAGCTGTTGATTTTTCAGATGACTCTCCACAATCGCCAAGTTGTTACTTTTTCAAATATGGGTGACTCGTATTTTACCAAATATTTTCTTTGGGGAAAAAACTTGGTAAAATAAATCAGATTTCTGATACCCAGTATAAATGCTTATAATAATTTAGTTGATCTCATGCTCTCCTGCCCCTCCCTCATCCCATCCCAGAAAATTAAAGACCTAAAATGTATCTTTCAACCTTTAAAAAAGCATAAATTTAAACTCAGATGTCCCTGAGGGAGCTATCAAGTTGTTTTAGCTCATTCCTGGTTGGTCCATTAAGGCCAAGTACTTGAGGCTTGTGAAGTGAAGAGCAAAAGTCCATCCTAGCAATGTTTGCTTTTGTAATTGTTCTGTAGTTGCTCAAGAGAGTCTCAAACATTGGAAATGACATTTATGTTGAATAAGTTTTAGCATTTAAAGTTGCTGAGTAGAATGTGGCATTTGTAGTTATGGAAACAATTTTAATACACTCCACAAAAAGCTAATTTTCATTTCTCCTAACATTATTGTATATTTAGCTATTTGCACTTTGAAAAGAAAAATTAGGAGCTATGCCTAACTATCCTATAAAATTGTTAATTCATTCACCATGCATTTCTTGAACATTCAGTATATGCCAGGTATCTAGAGGAAGCCGTAACCTCTACCTGGGAGAGGTGTATAGCCCTGTGAGAAGGTAGAGGCTGGTAAGTAATTCTAGGGCAGGGAAATATGTGCTGTTCTCAAAGCTGTTGCAAATGGTGTAGGAGTTCAGTAGGGATGTGTATTTTAGTGTGCACCTATTTTAGGGCATTGACCTAAGGGGTGAAGCAAGATGACCATCTCTTCTATTGTGAGCTCTTCCTATTTCAGCAGTTTGGTCTGGCCAACTTTAAATGGGACATTGAAGCTGAAATTGGCAGCCTTTCAAATACATGTCTCCTTGGGGCCAATCTGTTCTGTGCCACAAAACTTCAGCTGTTGAGGAAAGAGCAATTTTGCCACCTCATCCCAAAAATCTAGAACAACTCTAAGAATCTGTGTAAAAGAGTAACTGGGTAAATTACAGTGTTTCCTTTAGACAGAATTTTATGTACTTATGAAAAGATTGGGGAAACACGACAAAATATTAAATGAAACACATGTGAGATAATATTGTACATACTGGGTATTCTATGTTAAAACAATACATTAAAAATGTAAATAATGGAAGTATGGGCAATTTTTTTTCTGCATTTTCTAAGATTTCTGCTATGAACATATTGCTCTTATAAGCAGGAAATCAATGCTTATTTAAAAGAAAAATCTATATCATTCCTATAGCTTGATAAGCCGAGTAAAGTGCATTGTCCACCAGGCCTACTGGGATGTCTTGGAATCAGAGCTGAATGCTGAGCCTCCCGAGTATAACCACGCCATCAAACTGTTTGAAGAAATCAGAGAGGCAAGTTGACATTGTCTGTATTAATTAATAATTGTTTTCCCCCAGACTGTTTTCATGCCCTCCAAAGAGTATTAGAGACTCTTTTGGAAAAACTTTTGAGCAAGTTCAGTCACCGGGAGGGATTTTTCCTGCACCTCCTCGAGTGGGGTGGAGGCTGGGAGAGTGGGGCCGTGGAGGGGACCCGTGGTGACGCTTAGTGCAGAGTAGCGGTTGTAGTGGTCAAGACCACAGACTTTGGAGTTGGGTGGTCCTAGCTTGGTGATGGCTTCTCCCTGTTGAAGTCTTATTTCCTGAGTACTTAAGTTGTAAGGATTAAATGAGGCGACAGTTACAGTTTTAGCTAACATTGACAAGACACTTGCTCTGTGCTGAGCATTAGACTATCCCATTTATCCTTACCATAATGCTGTGAGGTAGTGGCACCTGTTATTTTATATAAAGAAGCCAAGTTCTCTGCCTTGCCTAGGGTCACACAGCTTTGAGAGGTGGAAAGGGATTTGAGATGGAGTTACTCTGACTCAGAGCGCTCCTGTCCATGTGCTCTGTGTGTAACTACCATGTCTGCTACTTACTGAGTATTCAGTATAGGTTGCTTATATAATATATAATAAATGTTTTATATGTAAAATATAATATACTAGTGGAGCCCATCGCGGGGGGATTCTGTTTTTTCTTCAATGCACTCTCTTGGAGCCATGATCCGCAACTTGTTCTTTCTTTGCAGCGTTCATCTGTAAACCTTTTGAAGTTCTTCAGTAATAATGCTTCCTTACTAGTTACTTTTATTCTCAGAGAATCAGTAATTTGCCATGAAGCCGGGGCCTTTAATTCAGAAGTCAGATCTTTTTAGGGTTATGACGCTGGAGTGCTCTGATCCACCACCTAGTCCATACAAACTTCTATGGTGTCCAGGGCATTAAAATATGGATAGGGAGCTTGGTCATCTAGACATTGACATAAAAAATGACAACCTTTATTCATGTAATGATGCTGTTAATTTTTTCCTTCCTTTCCCTGTGTAGATTCTTCTCTCTTTTCTGACTCCTGGTGGTGGAAACCGGCTTCGCAACCAGATCTGTGAGGTTTTGGACACTGACCTCATTAGGCAGCAGGCTGAGCACAGTGCTGTTGACATCCAAGGCCTGGCCAGCTATATCATCAGTACGATGGGGAAGCTGTGTGCTCCTGTGAGAGATGACGATGTCAGAAAGTTAAAGGCTACTGGCAACATTGTGGAGGTGCTGAGGTTAGCACTTTTGCTGCTTACCTTTTCTTGGAGTACCTATGGGTTCACACACAAGGGAAGTGTGGGGATTGAGGAACACAGAATAATAACTGGTCTCTCAAAGGAATCCCGGGACCACACCAAAGGGTCCCGGGGTGGGAGGGAGGTAATAAACGAGGATTAAGTCAATCATTTGCTGTGTACATAGAGTTTTTAGATAGAAGGATCTAATAGGGTTGTTAGTTGTCATATGCTGGATGTTGGGGATGCAGTGATGAAAAAGACGGACAGTCCCTGATCCCCAGGACTTCACAAGGGAGACAGGCCTTGAACTAGGGGTTACAATTGTGGTAAGTGCTATGGAAGGGGAAGTAGAGGGCTTAATAGAGCCTCCAGCAGGGAGACCAAGTCAGGAATCTAGAAAGGCTCCTTTATAAGGATAATGCCAGCTGCTGTAACACATAACCCTGAATTCTCAGTTACCAATAAACCAACAAAAATTTGTTTCTCATTCATGTCACAGTCCAAGCCAGGGGTTCTTGGTCAGGCAGCCTTCCACATGCCATTCAGTGACGCAAGCTCCTTGCATTGCCTTTACTCTTGCCCAGGTCCTCAGAGCCCTTTGCATTCAGCTGGTGAACAGGAAGGAAATCATGGGGCAGTTATGCCCAGTGTTTAACTGCTTTGGCCCAGAAGCGACACCTTCCACTGACTGACTCGAACCGTGGTCCCACCTAGATTGAAGGGGGTCTGGGAAATGTGGTTGCTGTCTGGAGACGCATTTCTCAGTCACAAATCCACATTGTGGACAAGGAGCATGGATCATGGGTGGTCAGCTAGCCGTTTTCTCCCTCAGCTTCCCTGAGGAAGTGAGAATCTCATCTGGCTGTGCAGACAGTAACTTCTTTGTGATCCTAGAGGAAAGAGGAGTCTGCAACATTTTTTGCCATTGAGAGGAACCTTTCTTTGTGTGTGCGTGAATATGACCACATTGATATATAAGTTTTATGTAATAGTATCAGAAACATAGAAGGAAACCACACATAGCAGGTAACTTACTTTATGACCTTGGGCAAGTTGATAACCTCTCAGTCACTTTTACCCATCTTTAAAATGGGTTTTCTATATCCTTAGAGCTGTGCTCAGCTCTGTCAAATTGCAGTTCTTCAGTTGCAGAATCTTTGCTTCTAGTTGTTTTATTTCCCGTGTGTATAGTATCCAATCTGTGGTGTTCATCTTGGTCATTTATTGGGCACCTACTGGGTGACACCGTCCCCTACATTTTTTATTTATTACCTCATGGCTCTTTACAACATCCCTCCAGGGTTGATCTTGTTCTCTCCTTTCAAAGGTGAGGAAACCGAGGCTCAGAGACATTGAGTACTTGTATCTGGCCGCAGAGCTGGATTTGAGCAATAGGTTGCCCAACGCTAAAAAGAAGTATTTTTTTTCCCCTATGCGCACATCTTTTCTTTTTTTCTTATTCCCCTAGGAATAGAAACCATATACACTATGTTCAGACTCCTTAAAATTTCATTGGCTTTCAAGTGAAAATTCCTTATTGAACCTCTCTTGTCTCATTGTGAAAACTCATTGTATATACTTCTTAGTGTCTTTAAATCAGTTCAGAACTGGATGTAATGGCTCAGCTGGAGATAATATATTTGCCAAAGCAAACACTCTCAACAGCTATAGAAAGATACATTTGGAATGCACGTGTAATGCCCTCTATTAAAAGTGACCTTGCCAAATGGAGATTGGAACTTAAAAACTATTTTGGGGATGTTTATTTTTTTCCTGTCTTGAAAATAAGTAAAAGTTAATGAATTTCAGATTATTGAACTATTACCTGACTATTTTAACTCTAAAATTTTTAGACAAATATTTCATGTCCTGGAACTCATGAGTATGGATATGGCCAATTTTCTAATTAAGAGTTTTAGACCACATTTTCAACGCCAGCTGGTGGATTATGAGAGAAGCAAGTTCCAGGAAATTTTAGAAGAAACTCCAAGTAAGTACAAGATATTGTATATTTATACTGAAATTATGTGAAAATATGATTTTATTTTATGATTTTATTTTTGACATTTTAAGAAGTGTCACTAAAGAACTTTGGTCATTCTGTTAAACATTTTTTTTTAACTTTTAAAATTGACATCTCAAACTTGTAGCTGTTTACTATGTCCCAGGAACTGTGCCAAACACTATTCATTTCTTTATGCATCAAACACAGTATTTATTGAGCACCTGCTGTGTCCCAGACACTGCCTAGATGCTGTGGATACTGCAGTGAACTGAACAGAATAAAGTTGTGACTCCCAAGAAGCTGACATTCTAGTAGACAAACTTGATATCATCAGCTGTGTTATTAAGTGCTATGAAGAAAATTGGGTAAAAGGACAGACGGGAATGGTGCAGGAACAAGAGTGGGGAGTGTTTGTTTGTTTATTTTTAGATAAGGTGGACTGGCAAGGCCTTTCTCACAAGTAACATTTGAGCAGAGTTAGCAAAGGAATGAGGAAAGGGGATGTGAAGGTGTGGGGGAAGAACTTTCCAGCCAGAAGTAGCTGCAAACACAAAGGCCCTGAAGCAGAAACTCGTTTGTGAAGTTGGACAAACACAAGGCAGACTGTATGGCTGGTGTAGAGTAGGCAAGGAGCCACTGGCCAGAGATGAGACCAAGAGGTAGGCAGTTCATACAAAGCCCTGTTAGGAGGCGAGAGGAATCTAGATTTCATGCCAAGTGTGATGGGAAGCCCTTGGAGAGTTTTGAGCACAGAAGCAACGTCTGATTTTCATTTTTAAAGAATACTCTGGCTCTTGGGTAGAGAAGAGATTGTATGCAGCAAAGAGGGAAGCAAGGGTACCAGGTAGGTGGTATTGCAGTTGCTTGGGCAAGAAACAACAGCGGCTCGGTCAGGTGGTAGTGGTGGAAGTCGTGAGAAGAGGTTGTGTTCTGGATGTATTTTGAAAGTGGAATAACAGAATTTTCTGAAAGTTGGATGAGTGGAAAAGAGGAGTTGAGGCTGTCTCTAAGGTTTTCACCTGAGCAGCCGGGTGAATAGTGATGCCTTTTGGTGAGACGGGGGAGTTGAGGGGAAAGAAGGTGGGGAGGAGCTGTGGAATCAAGTTCGGTTTTAGACAAATGACCTCCGAGATCCTGTTTGACAACAACATGGGGAATACGTAGGCTTTTAGATATAAGAGACTGGAGTACTGGAGAATGGGGATGTATCAATACATTTGGGAATCATCGGTGTGTTTATGGTAGATTAAGCCATGGCACTAGATAACATGTATAAAATGCTTACTATATTCTAACTTCTTTACCTGTATTAACTAATTTACTCTTTACGATACCTTTAGGCAATCACTCCCCATTTTATGGATGAGGAAGCTGAGGCACAGGGAGGTTAAATCATTTGCCCCTATAATACAGCTTGTACATTATGCAAGTGGGACTCACCCAGGCAGTCTGGCTCCACGGCCCGTGCTCTGCTCCACAATATTACACGGCATGAGATTACCTAGGCAGTGAATGTAGGTACTGACAGGGCCTGACCTGGGACCCTAGAGCATCTAGAGCTGAAGAGAAGGATCCAACAATTGAAACTACGGGAATTGCACGAGGTAAAGGAAGCCAGGAGAGAGCTATCCTGTAAGATGTGAAAAAAAATGTTCAGAAGGGGAAGACATTATCAGCTGTGATAAGTGCTGCTAAGTAAAAAGGAAAGATGAAAGCGAAGCCTTGACTGCGGGGTATAACTACATATAAGGATCCTTGGTAACCTTGATGGTAACCCACTAGTCAGTAAGCTCGTGGGCACTAAAGCTGGACTGGAGGGGGTCAAGAAAGAATGGGAGTAAAGGAGGTATTACTTCATTGAATCCACACAGCTACTTAGGGGGTAGATACTGGTTTACCCTCTTTTCACAGGTGACGAACTGAGATTTCACAGCTGCCAAAAGACTGACTATCTGGTTCTCTCATTGGCAAATCCTAGACACAGTCTCTGGGCTTGAATTAACCACAGACTAAGGCTGAGCTAGGTGTTCCACCCACGTCCCTGCACCCCTTGAGGACAGACCTTTTCTGTCAAGATAGACAGTATGATAGCATTATGTAAACAAAACCACACAGGAGCCACGTGCACAGGGGCTCCCAGCAAGCTGGAAAATGTACCACGCTCTCTTTCCTGGACATGGGGGGGGTCACAGGAGGAACAGTCAGTGAAACTGGGTGCTTCCACTTGGCACCAGGGAGATGCAAGTGGGCCACAAGCTCTCCCCTGTTGATAGTGATTCAGGGACTTTGGTTAAGCCCTGTAGGACTGAGTAGAATCCATGGCGGGGGCTGGGGGAGAGTAGCAGTCAGCCAGTTTTGACCTTTCTAGCAGCTGGAGTTGTTTTAATGCTGGAATGGGTTGCTCTTCTATAATAGTAGTCAATGCTGGCTACAGTTTATTTGAGCACTTAATAAGTGCCAAGTTCTTACTATGTGACAAACACTCCATTTATTAGCCCATTCAAGCCTCACAATAGCCCTGTGAAGCTGGTAGTATTATCACCCGCTGTTTACAGATGGGGAAATTGAAGTTAAGGTACTTAACCCTAGGTGACTGCTAGTAAGCAGTAAGTCCTGGGTAACCCAGATGTGTATCTGTCCCAAAGCATGTGCGTTCAACCACTGTGTAACACTTCTTCTCTTCCAACACGGTATTGACTGTCTTTGGTGGATTGGCAGAGGGAGCTGTGGCATCGGGTGGTATGTAAGACTAGAGGACGTCTCAGGATCCTTCTAGAATAAAAAGGCTATGCTTTAGGGCTATATTGTTTTCGTTCTAAAGAGAGAGAAGGATTAAGGGAAGTAGAACCTGAATCTGAAACCTGAACTATGGTTTGTTCTTAGCGATGTTTTCCTGAGACTTGGTGGTTGGTTTCATTTGTGTGCCTGTGTTTGTGTATAAACACATGGGCAAATGTCTTTGTGTTTTGAATAAAGATAACTTGGAATCTTGAGCAAATTCCTTAATATAGGGTTGAATTACAGTTTTGTTTGTCTCAAATGATTTCTCTCCTTAAAACCTAGGCTTATTGACTTGTGATTCATTTGCACCTTTCACATTGACTTGGATATTTCCAGAGATTTAAGAATAGAAGAAATCCAGCTGTGCATATAGGTCATTACTGCCCAGCTCCAGATATGTTCCCAGAGAAGTCAAGTGTCCAGGAAGCAGAGTGTATGTCAGTTGTTAATTATATCCTTAAGTGACTGCCAAAGTCGGCCACTGTGCCCTAATATCAAAATAAGAGCCTCACAGCAACACACAAAAAGACAATGGGATTTTTGTGTGTACATGATTTTTACAAAATAATTATTGGAAAATTAATGTAGAGAAGTACTCTGAGTTTCTGAATTGACTCCAAAAATACTTTACTTTTATGACAAATTTTATATATACATCTGCCTTATTTAAAATACACCCAAGAGTCCTGGCTGGTGTGGCTCAGATGATTGGAGCGTCATCCCATAGACAGAAAGGGCACGGGGTCAATTCCTGGTCAGGGTACATACCCAGGTTGTGGGTTTTCAGTTGGGTGTGCAGGAGAAGGCAGCCAATTGATGTTCTCCTCCCTCCCTCCCTCCCTCTCTCTTCTCTCTCTCTCTCTCTCTCTGACATTTCTCTCCCTATCCCTCTCCTCTCTCGTTTTCTCCCTCCCTCCCTAAAAAGCAATGAAAAAATATCCTCAAGTGAGGATAAAAAATAAAGTATACCCAAGAGATTTCATGTATATATGGAATCTAAAATAAAAACTAAAAAAATAAATGAACAAACAAAACAGAAACAAACTCATAGATACAGAGAACATTTTGATGGCTGCCAATGAGAGGGGCAAGGGGAGATGGGTAAAAAAAGGGAAGGGATTACAAAGTACAGACTGGTAGTTGCAAAATAGTCGTGGGCATGTTAAGTATAGCATAATGAATATAGTCACTAATATTGTAACTACAGGGTGGGGCAAAAGTAGGCAGTTCCTATGGAAAATAATACAATAATAATAATACAAGAATAAACTCTGCGTGTCACATACTCACAACTGTAAACCTACGTTTGCCGTACCCTGTATGTATGGTGTTAGATGAGTACTAAACTTATCAGGATGATCGTTTCATAAGTTATATAACCATCTAATCACAGTGTTGTAAAAAAAAAAAAAAGTTCATTCTGTATGATTTCATTTTTATAAAACTGTACACAGAGCAAATTGGTCTCTAGTGCCAGAAAGCAGGTCAGTATGTTTGGGGATGATGAGGTTGCGGGGGAGGGAGGGAGAGTGGGGATGATGACAAAGCACACTGGGAATCTTTGGGGTGATGAATATGTTCATTATCATAGCTGTGGCGATGGGTGCATATATGTATACATATATCAAAACTTAACAAATTGTATACTTTAAATATGTGTAGTTTATTGTGTGCCAATTGTACCTAAGTGAAGATATTTAAAATAAAAAAAAAAGAATAGGCTAGGTTAAAAATAAAGTAAAATACAGCTAAGAAAGCCTTTGGCAATGAATGATTGGGTGCATATGTTAAGTGTCAAAAACGTGACCACGCTAGATCCCAAAACTTAATTACCTGTGGAAAAAGTAACAGGTTACCTCTGAGGGAGCCATACCACAAGCAATTTTAAAGATGCTCAGAAAAAAAAAAAGGGTTTACTTATTTATATATAGTACATTTGATAAAACGTTCTCATGAATTTTATGTAACGCTTTCAAAAATCCTATGAGGCATAAATATTTTTAAAAAATACATCACACTCCATTATGACTGTCTTTGCCTGGCATACAAGGCATTCAGAATATATTTAGGGAACATTTTAAAGATGAGCAATGTGATGCTCAGCCATGACCTGCCCAAAGACAGAATCACACAGCTAATCAGTAGCAGAGCCTGGGACTCAAAGCCAGGTCTCCCATAGCGACGCCAAGATTAAACCAAGCTGCCACTTTGGCAGTTTTCTTTGATTTTTCAGTTTTGCGTTATGCCAGCTGGGTTATATTGAAACCAACAGAAACCAACTCTGGCTGATTTAGCAAAAGAAGTGAATGGAGGCTAAAGCTACAATACAGAAAAGCTAAAATACCTATTCTGAGCAAGGCCAGAAACCAGGGGAGTGTCAGGAATCTGAGTTGAAAAAACTTTTTTTTAAAACAAGGGAAAGCTCCTGGGCTCCATAGACAGGATGGTTTATGTATACTTCAAAATGGGTCATCCTGAAATGCTGTAATCCCCATTCAGAGTCCCAGGTAAGAGCCTCATGGGCATATGAGTTAGGCCAATGCCTGGTCAAGGGCCTCTTAATTGATAGTCACAAAAGAAACTGTGAAGCAAAGGAAAATGGTTTCTCAGGAAAAATCAGTACCAAAAAAAGGGGAGGGGAGGTGTTGCTAGGTATAAGAGCAAATGTCATGGATAAGGGAACTATATTCTTCTAACTGGAAAGTGGGGTACTTGTTCTGAATATTTTCCAGAATATTGGAGATGGGGGACCTCTAAAGCCTTGTTCAACAACAGAGGCTCCCACTCATCTACACCGATCTCCCAGTTAGTGTGAATGGTGCATACTCAGAATTATACAGGCCAAGGGCTGGCCTGGCCTTCCCTCCAGTTCAGAACGCAGAGTTGTTGCCTTTGTAGGGGACAAGTTTTATGCTTAAGGTACCATACTAGAAGTTGTCCTACTATTGAATTGAAGGCATTCTGGAAACAAGTCCTTCGTCAGATTCATGTGTTGTGAAAATATCTCTCCCTCTGTGGTTTGCCTTTTTCATTTTCTCAACATTATCCTTTGTAGAGGAAAAGTTTTTAATTTTGACAAAGTCCAAATTATCAAATTTTTCTTTTATGGTTTGTGCACTTAGTAAACCATTATGAAATCTTTGCATCTCTTTAGTTGATGAAGATTTTTTTTTGGATGTTTTCTCCTAGAAGTAATCATTATAACTAGTATACGTTAAAACGGTATGTGTAATATCTATTATACCTGACACATTACAAAGCTGTTTATGGAAATTTCTCTCTGATAGGTTATTACTGGGTTGGCCAAAAAGTCCATTGAGTTTTTCCTATAAAATGAAAGGCACATTTTTCATTTTCAGTAACTTTCAAATCAATAACTTTATTGATTTGGATATTTTGTAAAGTTTTTATTTTCTAGTATATAGAAATACAATTGATTTTTGAATATTAACTTTGTGTCCTGAAACCTTGCTAAATTAACTTGTAAATTCTAGTAGCTTCCTGGAATATTTCTCAGGCTTTTCTATATGTACAGTCATGTTGTCTGTGAACAAAGACAGCTTTTCTTTTTTAAATGTGCATGCCTTTTATTTCTTTTTCTTGCCTTATTGCACTAACTAGGACCTCCAATCAAAATGTTGAATAGAAGTCATGAGAGAAGGCATCATTGCCCTTCTGGGGGAAGAATATTCATTGTTTGTTCATTAAGTATTATGTTAACTGCAGCATCTCACTGATGTCATTTTTCTGGGTTGAGGACGTTTTCTTCTACTTCTAGTTAACAGAGATTTTCACTAAGTAGGTCAATGTTAAGTTTGGTCACATGCTTTTTCTGCATATACTAAAGTGATCATTTTTTTCCTCCTATTTTTATATTAATGCAGTGAATTGCAGTGATTCATTTTTTTCTAATGTTAAACCAACCTTGCAGTCCTGAGATATTTATCCCCCCAACTGGTCCTGGTGTATTATTTTTACCTCATTGCCTTGCTAATGTTTTCTTAAGGATTTTTTAAAAAATCCTCACTTGAAAATACATTTTAATGGATTTTAGAAGAAGGGAGGGGGGCGGGGGGGCGGAGAGAGAGAGAGAGAGAAACATTGATTTGTGAAAGAAACATCAGTCGGTTGCCTCCCATATGTGCCCTGACTGGCGATCAAACCAGTAATCTTTTGGTGTACAGGACAGTGCTCCAGCCAACTGAGTGACCTGGCCACAACTTAAGGATTTTTGCATCGGTATTTATGACAGATATTACTCTGTAATTTTTTTTCTTCCAGTGCCTTTGCCTGATTTTGGTATCAGGGCAAAGCTGGCCTCATAAAATGAATTTGGGAAGTGTTCCCTCCTCTCCTTCCTGAAAGAGTTTACAAAAAGCACCCTGTTTGTTTTAGTTTGATTTGCATACACTGTGTACATTAGTAAACATTTTACTGGATCACAGTGGAAAAAATAAGATAAGTGCAGGCATGTAGGACCAAATCAATTTGTCAATATGAGGGAGACTATTTGAGCCAATCCTTAAACTCATTGTTGCCTCCAGAGATGAAAACCTGCCAGATCTCTCATGCCAAATATAGAGAGCAAAGTCTTTTTTTTTTTTTTTTAAGATTTTATTTATTTATTTTTAGAGAGAGGAGAAGGGAGGGAGAAAGAAAGGAGAGAAACAATGACTGGACTAGTTGCTACGCAACGCAATCTGGACCAAACCCACAATCCAGGCATGTGCCCTGACCAGGAATCAAACTGGAGACCCTTCACTTTTCAGGATGACACCCAACTAAGTCAGACACTCTGGTCAGGGTGAGAGAGCAGAGGCTTTTTGATAAGTACCTACTGTGTGACAAATACCACTGGGAAAATATCTGATTGTCTTGGCAGGCCCATTTGTTTTGGAAACCAAAGCCAAACATTTCACATGCTTATCAAATTGTGCTGTGAGCTAAGTCAAAGGAAGGAGAAACAAAGGCCATACATTGGACTCTCAGTAATCGCACTAGTGAGATGACAATGAAATGAAGGCATGTGAAATGTTTTTTTTTTTAAAGAAAAAAAAAGAGAAGCTGTTCTTCAGTTCAGCTGTTTAAGAGAAATGACAGCCAGATAAAAAATTCAGAAGTGGGTGCTTTGAGAAGAGAGATAAGAATGGATCCATACAATCAAGAGAGGCTTCCCACAGGAAAAAGGATTTCATCTGGGCCACTCTGGACTGGCAGGATTTGGATTTAGAGAAGCAGAGAGAGTTAGGGGGTGGGGAGCTGGTTAGGCCAAGCCTCCCTGGCAGGAAACCAGGAGCATGTACTGGTGTGGAGTAAAGTCAGGGTAAATGCTCTTGGGCCACCACTGCTCCTGGGAAAGTCTCAGGTAAACGTGCCTGTAAAGCCATTGTCTATTCTTGTGTTTCTCTCTCCAAGTAGATCAGGAAATTCTTCAGTGCAGGGACTGTATTTACTCCTCTGTGATTCCCTAGCAGTTGGTGCAGTACCTGGCATGTAGTAGGTGCTCAGTTACCATTGAATAAATGAGTGAATAGAGATGCTCTTATTTCTGTCCACATGAAAGACCTATGGTACCAGTGCCTTGTGGACTTGATGTTGCCTTTAGAGCCATATAGAACATTCAATGTACTAGCTTATGAAATAAAACCTCAAAAGGTCCCTTAGAGAAAACCTGCTGTTCCACTGTAAACTCATGCTCTTTTTGCTTTGCCAGTTGTACTCATTCTGGGTACTATTAGGATGACCTGGGGCGTTCGAATAGCAATGCCTGAGCCCCAGCGCAGACTGATTAAATCAGAGCCTCCAGGAGCTGTGCCCAGGATCTTTTATTTTTTTATTTTTTTTTAAAGCTCCCCAGATGATTCTAAAATCATTTGGGATTGAGAAGCACTATGCTACACTCTTGCTTTTGTCTGAAATAATTAAATGGCCTTTTAAATTTGTCAGCTGTAAATGATTACACTTGCAGTATAAATGCTTAATACTGCCACATTGTAATTATGTCCATGATGATTTCTGCTCTCTGTTGGATATTTTTTATTAAATAAAAGACTGCAAATCTTTTACATCTTTATAAAAAGAACAAGAAAAACCAAGAACAACATCTGCCAACTGAGGAGAAACAAAATTGTGTTATTCTGTGGGTGGTGTTGCTTTAGTGTGGCAAACAGAGCTACTCATAAATTATCCCTGTTTAAGTGCTGGGTCTGAGGAAGAATTTCAGAGTGACTATTCTGTATTTTTTTCTTCATTTAAAAAAAAAAAATTTGTACCTGTGTTCTGTCTACATTTTTTTTTTTTAAGTAATTGCCACCTTATAAATTCTACCAAATACAGAATGTTATAAGAAATGTAGTATGAAAAGCAACTTGTTTCTAATAGGACACCTTAGTACTGGAAAACCTTAGTACTGGGTCTGAAGTAAAATGGAATGTGCACACCAGCATGTACACGCTTTGTAGGAAAGACATAGCTCTAATCAGAGCCTCAGAGGGGCCCAGTATCCAAAACTGTTTACTAATCAATGCCTTTATTCTAAATACCTTCTCCACACAAAACTCAAGTTCGTGTGTGAGCCGGCCTGTCTGCACATCCAATGCCATCTGCTACTGCCCCCTTCCCCCTCGTTCTATATGAACCAGCAATACAGATTTGTTTGCAGCATCCAGAACATGCCATATTCACTCACTTTTTGGTCTTCGTATGAGCTGTTCTGCTGGCCTGGGGTGACAGCCCTTTCTCCGGTCTGCCTTGTATCTTCAAATGCCATGGTTCTTTCTCTTAGACTCTGCTCTTGACATCCTCTTCCCCTCACCCCCGTGCCTTCTAGTATTCTTTGTATGCTGCTGTAGTTGTTAGTTACGGGTCTGTCTGCCCCCCGGCCCTGGGCCGTAAGCTCCTGGAGGGCCATGGCTGCTTTTCCACATTTGCGCCCAGCACTGAACATAGCGCTGCTCAGGAAGAATGTGCAACTGCAGGATCCATCAGCTGCAGGACAAATACGTGGCCTTTTCACTTGTAGGTGCTCTTGATAAAACTACACAGTGGATAGAAGAATCTGTAAATGAAGAATTACTTTCGCTTTCTGAGACTGCTTTAACTACTGGGGCTGAAAACGGCTCCAAGCCAAGCCTGAGCCCTACACTGGTGCTAAATAACAGTTATTTGAAACTGTTGCAGTGGGATTATCAGAAAAAAGTATTTCCAGAGGTGAGTGATTTTTTTTTTTTTTTACCCCCCTCAAGCTTCCCATTGTTTTCATTCTTAAGTTCTAACTGTGAATCAGCTATTCTGTCTCTGTTGCATGTGGTTTAATGATTTTACTGAAATCAGATAAAAATGGGAATTTGGATGTAATATGGCTTATTTTACATTTTCATGGTATTGAGCTTCTCTTTCTATTTTTCCATTTTAAATAAATATACTAGACACTGATCACAGAAGAAGTGCGTCTTCAGGAACTGACAGAAAAGCTGAATCAATTGAAAATTATCGCCTGCCTGTCCCTCATTACCAAAAATACAGTGGGTGCCATCACAGAAGGCCTCCCTGAGCTTGCAGACAGGTTAAAGAGGATTTCAGCTGTTCTACTTGAAGGCATGAATGAAAAGTAAGTTCCAAGTGTTTTCACCTGTTCCCTCTTGTGTTAAGGCTCTGCATGCATTTCAGAGAATGTGAATAACCTTGGACATCTACATGTGATATTCAGAACCGCGCTTTAGAGTTTATCTCACACCATCTTTTTCTAGAATTTCTTTTAATATCTCTGAAGGCTTAGATGTCCTTTCATAGGAAGGGAGAGGTCTTTTCCATGACAAGTGCCAGGGTGAGTGTAGGATTTCCACTGGAGACGGGTGTGTGCAAATGCTCTCCTTTGACAATGCTGTGGAAAAAAACAAACAAAACCCAGAAATTCACCAAGCTCAGGGATTAGAATGCCCTATCAAAGAGGCTTTCCACATTAAGTAGTTCTGTCACCATCATTTTTCTGTAATGAAATGTTTGCCAGCTTGACTGATTCAGTGTGCTATGAAGTCCTGAGAATTAGTGCCCTCTCTGTCCTTTGAGCTGTTCCACAAGTTCATTGAGGGGTTTGTTTTTTGTGAAGTTGACTTCTCAGTATCACACCTTCATCGAACACTAGAATCCCATTGAGATTTTGCATTTAGGCCATCTTGTTGGAAATCCTGTCCAATTCAGAAAGTTCCAGATCTTAGCCAAAGACCACATGATTCCATGGGTCTTAAATGGGTAAAGCTCCTCCTGCCAGTCCATTCCCCCTTTAGGTGTTTTCGGGGACATACACTCGCTCTACTCCTGTCATTGAAGGGCCAGGCACCTATTTTCCCACCCATTACTCAAAGAGCACATAAATTACTCGATAAAATCCTAGAATATTAAGAGCCAAAAGAAGAGCCCAAGTGGTTACAAAATCCTATGTTCTCCTTTTGAACTGAAGCCCAAGGATTTGCTTTTGGCTGCACAGCAAGAAAAGGGCAAACCAAGGCCCGAGCCCTGGTCTGACTATGTCAAGGCCCTGCCCTTTCTGCTGATTCTTTTTTGTTTTTATCATTTTGAATATTTTTTAATGTTATAAAACTATTATAAAAGGCACTGGAGAGTAATTGGCATAGTCATGCTCTATGAGAATAATCTCTGAACAAACCTAACCTTAAAGTTATTATTAAGATTAAAATACATTGTTATTTTTACTTTTTTTGAGTTTTAATGTTTCAATCACAGTTACTTTCAATATTATTGGTAGTGGTTTCAGGTGTGCAGCATAGTGGTTAGACAGTCATATACTTTACAAGTGTCCCCTCGATATTTCCTTTCTACTGATTCTCATGTTAACCTGCCAGGCTCATTTATTTCACACCCAGGACCCAAGACTTATGATGAAAAGAAACCTCTGTTTTTGTGATTGTTAATACCTTAGCCTTTCCCCACACTGGATAGTCATTGCTTTCCAGAAACTTCTTAAACCTTTACTGAACCCCCAGTTCTGCTTAAGCATTGGTAATATAAAGCATATAACAAAGTGGCTACTAAGAGTATGGGTTTTTGGATCTAAATCTAGATTTTTTTTTTTTAAACTTCTATCATTTAAACTTTTTTGTTTTTTTACTTTTTAAAGATTTTATTTATTTATTTTTAGAGAGAGAGGAAGGGAGGGAGAAAGAGAGGGAGAGAAACATCAATGTGTGGTTGCTGCTCATACGCCCCCAACTGGGGACCTGGTCCCCAACCCAGGCATGTGCCCTGACTGGGAATTGAACTGGCGACCCTTTGGTTCTCAGGCCAGCACTCAATCCACTGAGCCACGCCAGCCAGGTAAATCTAGATTTTTAAATCCCAGCTCTGCTGTTGACTTATGCACGTACCCTGGAACAAACTCCTGAATCACCCTGAGCCTCACTTCATCACTTGCAAAAAAGGAATAATATTTGTGCCTGTCTTAGAGTTGTGAGAACTCAGGGAGATTCATGTGAAACACTTCTACATGTGTCTGGCACATAGTAATTGCTTGATAAATGTTAGCTTTTCATAACTCTTTAGCTGTTAAACCATTCTCTTTGTAGCTGTTCTGACTGGTTTTTAAAATTATTTTGTTTAATCTCTTGCCCCACCCCCTTCCCCTGTAACCTATGTTAGGAAATGATTATAGTCATTTCTCAATTATCCTCATTATGGATGGAGTAATAGCATTCATAATATTAAAAAAACAGATGACCCAGATGCCATTTATGTTTGGTCTGATGATGCATTTTGAAAACTAGCAAGAATTTTGCCTTCTTTCTTATGATTAGGAATCATGGCTTATGCTGAAATTAATTTTTCCTTTAGCCTATGAACTCATGATTAAAAGCAGGAGGAAGTTAGGAGGAAGTTGGGTAAGAGTCAGAGGGTAAACATTTCGCCATAAACTAACTTCGGGTTGTGGAACCCCAAAGGCAGGTCCAGTGTGGATTTATAATAAATTCCAGTCAAGGCAGAACACCAAGGACTTATTTCTTATTGTTGTTAATGATGATAATAATGATAAACAGTCTTTTGATTTTTTTTCTTCTTATTATTAAGCATTTACTATGTGCCTGACAATCTGCCAAGAGCTAATATGGTCACACAGCAAGTTTAGTGTTAGAGCCAGGACTTGAACCCAGATCTGTGTGACACCACAGCTCACGCTGTAGGGACTACATTACATTGCCTCCTATCACTGGGCCTCTTAGCCCTTAATTCCCATTTTGAACAGAGCTCTCTTAAAGAGCCCTTCTGGATAGTGAGATACAATTTTCAACCACTTTTCCCCAATAGTGTAGACTCAACAAGTGCACTTTCTAATTAACTTTTTTCGTACCTATTATATAACCAACTGCAAATTACTTTATATCATTTTCTGAACTCTATATATTTACATTATTGATCAGTTGCTTGAAAGTAGCAAAGAGAGGGAGCTTCTTATCTTTGATCATGATAGATCAAGCATTTTAGGTAATTTGCCTTCATGATATTGACCTCTGAATATCTTCATTTCTTGTTTTGATTGGTGTTAAAGATGTACTGCTCAGGCATAGATAAAGGAATTGATTTTACCTTTATTTTTCAAGCTACAAAAAAAAAAAAAATCTATGAATGAATCCACTCAGACCAAAGGGTTTATTTTAAGAATAGGTATTTTCTTTCCCTGTCTAATAGCCCTGCATGACAATGGGATTGCAGACTCACCATATTTTGCCGTGTACAATGCACACCCACTTTTTTGGCCCAGACTTTGAGGGGAAAAAACTTTCATTTTAATTTTTTAACTCAATTATTTATTTATATTTAGATACTTGTTTTTTGTATTATAAAGGAATTTTGGCATTTTTTGAGCATATTGTGATACAAGAAATTTTATGTAACAAATAATTACAAAACACAAGAACATATACAAGGTACTTCAGGTATTACCCATGTGTAATGTGCATCCTTATTTTTCCCTCAAAAATTTGGGCAAAAAAGTGCACATTATACATGGCAAAAGATGGCATTTTCAGGGGCCACATTTTTCTGCCTGTGCTTTCCTATATAAACACAATATACAGAGTTAAATGATTGTAATGATGTGAAAATCTGCTGTAAGTAAGTGTTGGTAATTGGGAGGAGTTACTATTTTCTGAGCTCATTCTAATCGAGGTAATTGTCTGTATAAGAAAAAAGTGGGTAGATGAAAATGGGTAGAAATATGTTGGTATATCAAAACAAAACAGAAAAAACTCTCCCTGAGGGAGATTTTATTTTCTGTTCTATAGGACCTTTTAAGTTGGTATATTAAATAAAAAATCAGGAATTAAGAAAAATTAAACTCTCTGATGGGGTTTGTTTCCTGTTTTATAGGACCTTTAACTTGAAGGAAGTCCTGAATTCCATTGGTGTTAAGACTTGTGTTGAGATTAACAAGACCCTGGTGGAGAGAGGCTTACCGACTTTAAATGCCGAGGTTCAAGCTAATCTTGTCGGCCAATTTTCAAGCATTGAAAAGGAGGACAATCCCATCAGGTCTTTGATTGGTGGGTCCTTATATTTTTATTGTTTTCTTCTTCAATTTCTATTTGCTTTAACTGGCTGGTTTTGACTAATGTTAAGCTTCAGTCAACATTTAGTCTTAAACATTTTACCTGCTTCTTTAGAGAATAAACATTGAAAATATGAACAAAATATTAATATTTTCAAAGGTTTGGGACTTGCTGCTGCTTCTGTGTGTATATGTAGTGGAGTGAGAGGTATTTTAAGGCCTTCTATTTTACTATCCAGCCAATAGATTTTGATGAGGAAAATAACAAAATGCTACCAGAAATGTTAATATCTTAGATCCATATGACCATCCAAACAAGCTGACATTTTGTTCACAGAGAGTAGATGTCAGTTCTGCTCTGAGCTACCCTAATCCAGCTGAAGCCACTTTCTTGGTCTGGCTTAACGAGACAAAGAATGAAAAGGCTATGGAACTGGGATGTACATGGGTAGGCGTTTATTGTGCTTGCTTACTGAGAAAGTGAATGAATATCTGGGCATCAAGCAAAGTTGGTAAGTTGGGAAAATGGAGAATGTATCAATTAGGACATTTTCTGTTACCTGTGACTGAGACTCTAAACTAGCTTAAGCAAAAAGAGAACATATTTTCATAGATAACTGAAAAGACCAGAGGTAGGGCTGGTTGCAGGTGCAGCTTAGCCACAGCTCAGACTGTATCACTGGCCCTAGTTTCCAACTTCAGCCCTCAGCTCTGCCTTCCTTGTGGCTGGCTGGCTCACAGACAGTGAGACAGCTTCTGTTCAAACCTACCTCTGCCCACACTTAAAACAAGAAGCTACCTTTGCCACTAGGTCACTGGCGCGGGCTGGCCTGACCGTAGGTCATGTCCCATGTTTGAATCAGTCTTGGTGGCCAGAGAGAGGAAGGAACTTAGGCTCCAAGGCATGTGTTCAGTTCCTGGAGCCAGGGTGAGTCAGCTTCATCTTTAACACCTGGTCTGAGAATATGGGACAGATGGTTTCCCCCAAACAAAATCAGGTGCTGTGGTCAAAAGAAGGGAGGGGGTGATGATGGGGTACAAAGCAAGTGTCTACTGTAGAGAGTGAGCGAAAGACTGGAAAGAAGAAAGGAGGGCAGAGTTAGAATATACTAACATTCTGGGACTAATCCGCAGATTTTTGAAGTGCAACGTTGACTTCCCTAAGAATATAAATACTTGTTACTGATTTGAGGCTCTCAGATAGGGTCTCTCATCTTTATCCCTGGGGACACAGAACGCTGGAGAGCTAGGCTACACAGGCCACTTGCAAGCTCAAGGCTTCAACCCCTCTCCAAGAAAAGAGCAGCCCGTGTGCAGCCCTGCAGGCTGCTGAGGGTGACAGTGGATAACAGTAACATGCACTGCATACCCACAGCCACTGTGGCTGAGCCCAGCGCTGCATAACCTTCACTGGTGACAAGTCTGCCCCCACAGCCCGCAGCCTCCAGCTGAAGGGTGAACCCCCGGGAGACGGTGTTCCTCAGAGCGAGATGGGCAGATTGTCTGCAGTCTCTGCCACGTATCACGTGCCCCGCCGCTAGCGTGCCGGCCTCATGAGGATGGGGTGCAACTGGTTCACTGCTGTATCCTTGTTCCGTGCTGGGCCCACCGATGACATTCAATCAAGATTTGTGGAGGGGTGAATGCAGCGGGGACTTAGAGTGGTTACATGACTCTCCCCCAAGGTCACATAACTAGCTGGTTGCAGAGTAGGGCGTCTTACTGAGCCTGTCTGACTCTGGAGCTCATAGTCTTAACTGCTCTCATCATAGCCGGAGCCCTACTGCTTGTTGGCAGGGTGGCCAGAGCACCCAAGTGTCCTCTGTGCCCTCCCTTTAGATAAGGGGAGTGTTTGCCGCGCCATAAGAAGAGGGAAACTGGGGCCCAGGACATGCCCCCTCCCTGAGGTGGTCTATTAACATCTAGTAAAGCCACTTTTTTCCAGCCCTCTCTCCCCAGTCCAACTCTCCTGTTATTTTGAAAATTCAAGCATTTTTTTAACCTCTAACTATTGTTGCCTAGCAACTCTAATGACACACTTGAACAGCTCTCTGACTCTGGAAGCCAAGGGCACGCCTTTGGCAGGGACTCGCTTTGGCTGCTCCCAACTGGACAAATGCTTCTGTCATTTTAGTCTTGGCCTAAAAACTGACTCTTCCACAGAGGAGACAAAACCACTTTTCAACATAATAATAGTTTTGAAAGACTTTTATCCCTTAAACAATTTGCTGGAAACTTTAGAATCATATCTGTGATGAAAATAGACCGGGGCTCCGGAGAGTCAGGCAACCAGTCTAACGGGAGATTTGGTACCCAATTGATTCTTAATTTTCTGCTCACAGAGGAGTTAGAATAAATCAGGCACTTAGAGGACATGGAAAGGACTTGACCAGCGTTAAACACGGGGTTCCTCCCCTGTGCACAGTGCCCCTGCCTTTTATTCTTAGTTCAGGTGCTACCTATTTACAGTGTGATTACAACTCCCACTGTTTCTGGACTTTTAGAAAGATAATTAGAACAGTTTCCTTTCAAACCAGTTTTTTTCAAATGCATATCAAAACCAGGTAAATATTATTTGTAGATTACCTACTGTGTAGATTATTTGAATGCTTATAGCCATCTGCATTTTTAAAAAGTAACTATCAATTGTACGTGTGATACATACATGAATAATTTCTCCTTGTTGACAAATTACAGATAAGGCCCATTATCTTTGGCTGCCTCTCCCAGCTTCCCTGACTCCCATTGTTTTCAGTTTGGCATTCATCTTTATGTACCTTTTTCATTCCATTCTTACTTCAATTCGGTCAGCATTTGTGATGTGCCTGCCACATGCCAGACCAGAAATGTAAAGATAAAAAAGAGTAGCTTCACCCTCCGAGGGCTTACCTAAGCAAGGAGAGAAATACATTTTCAAATAACAATAATATGGAGCGATAGTCTGACAGATGTTAGAGAAAGCCACAAAAGGAGGTAGCTTTAGGCTTGGCATTAAAGGATGCATTTGACTTGTGGCAGAGATGAGTTGAGACAGAAGAACATTCTACTAAGAGGAAGCAAATTTGGCTAAGACAGGGACATGGGATATCGGGAACTTGGAGTTCTAGGTCAGAGCTAGCTGAAACTTGTGACTTTTGGGAGAAGTGTTTGGTGATAAGAGTTTCCTTAATGTTGGTTGTCTGTATTTGATGGACTTCATTCTCCTTAGTACACTTTCTTACTCGGGAGAATTCTGTGTCCAAGGCCAAAGAAAGTCCTTGGAACAGCATGAGCTACATACAGCAAAGCTGGTTTGTCCAGCACTATTTCCAACACATCTGCAGCCTCATTTATTTATGCATTTGCTTGCTTTTGTGAAATAGTCTCAAGTGCAGATACATGACAGCAGCAGAGCAGACAGGGTGAAGAAGATGGCAAACTGGAAATCCAGTCCGGGGAGCACTTCCTCAGCGCCTCCAGTTGTTGGTCATGTGTGGGGTGAACTTAAAATTTATTGTCCCAACTGAGACACTTTTGAGAGGGTTCTTTTTAATTATGCCAAAACAACAGGTATAAACTTCCACTACCCTGGGAAAACCTGGATGTCTGGCCAGCCTTGCTATGTGGCAGTTTAGGTCCCCAAGTTTGCCAGATCTGTAGATTTTTCAAGAGGAACCAGAAATTTGGATTTCTATATGAAATCCCCTGATTTTAAATGGTTTTTTTTTTTTTTTGTTTTCAAAAGCACTACGTGGACCAAACTGGCAGTGGCAGTTTACGAACTCAGCTTTAGTGTATGTAAATAAACTTAGGGACATTAAATACTGAGTTTTTCTAAAAGATTACCTGCCCTCCCCAGAATTGCTCTACATTTTTTATCAGTTATTGCTGCATAACAAGGTACCCTCAGACTCCATAGCTTAAAAAACTGGAGACATTTAATGTTTCTCACAAGTTTGTGGGGCAACTGGGTAGTTCTTTTTGGTGCTGCTGGACTTATACATGCCTTTGTGGTCAGCTGTGGCTTGGGTGGGTAGCCCGCTGATCTTGGTTGGGCTCTCTCAAGTGTTTGGGAGTTGGTCGGCTACAGGTTGATCTAGGATGGCCTCATATAGAAGAGCTGGGTGTCTCTCTGTGTGGTCTTTCATTAAGCCCAGGCTTGTTCATGTGGTGGGTAGAGAGGGCAGATGCGAACCATGCTTCCTTAGGCCTCTGCATGGAACTAACGTGCTAGCACGTCAGCTGCATCCCATCTTGGCCTGAGGAAGCCGTAAGGCCGGCCGCAATTCAGAACATGGGGAAACGGACGCCAGCCTTTGGTGGGAAGAGCTGCAAAGGGCATGGATACAGGGAGGGTTAAGAATTGCAAATATTTACTGTTCTCATTTTTTTTAATTGTGTGCTTTAATAATGGAACAGATAAAGATATCTTATTTTTCCCCAGATAAACGAATCCAGCTGTACCTGAAGAGCCTACTTTGTCTTCCTAGCCCTAAAAAATGCATGCCTCCCATGCCTGGAGGCCTTGCTGTCATTCAGCAGGAGCTGGAAGTGCTAGGTTGTCAATATGCAAACATTGTGAATCTCAACAAACAAGTGTACGGACCATTTTACGCAAATATACTTCGAAAGCTGCTCTTCGGCGAGGAAGCCGTGGGGAAGACAGATGCTCCATCTTCCACTAACTAACGAGGAACTGACATTGGATAAGAGATTGGGAACCCAGCACTTCTGTATGGAGGCTGTTTCCATCTATGGCATTTCAGATGTGGCACATTCTCAGTCCTGTCGTGGTGCAGTGGTAGCCCGAATCTGTGTGGCCCAGTGACACTAGGGTTGCAAAAGACACGCAAATCATATAGGCCCTATTCATGCATTGTTTCCTTCCCTCCCTTGTTTTTACTTGTCTAAAGGTGAATGGTAGCAGTGGCTAAGTTGAGTCATGCAGCCAATTTGTAGTTAATTATGTAACCTATACGATACCTGTAAATGTTTTGTTAAACATTTGTATTTGGCTTATTCATTCAACCCTTAAGGAGTTGTATTTCCTCATTTATCACTATCAGATCTAATGATTTTTAATTTGGGTACAACTTAAAGGGTTGAAAGATGTGAGAATAACCAAGGGGACTGGAGTTCTAAAGTACATGGTGTGCAGTAAGCATAACTGTATTTGAAATGTACAGTTAAAAAAAAGAAGGAAATGTGCAATTAAATTGTTTCAATGTGTAATAGAAACTTACATAGTAAGTCCTAAAATTCCACAAATGTACCAGTTCACATTTTATAATACCAATTGTCAGTATTTGTGTAGAATTTAAACTTATTAAGTACATTTTAAAGGTGTATGCACATTTTAGATCAAACCTCCCTTGTTCATTTAGTGAAAACAAACAAATCCCTTCTAAAATTTTATTCTGGAGGTTGGTTTATTCTTGCAATTTATCCTGCTCTCTGAGAGAAACATTTTTTTGCACAAATCTCTTAGTGAATGTCTTTGCATTTCTCAGGCCATCGGAAAGGTTTATATAAGATTCTAATATTTTTACAAAAGGCAGGAGTGGTTTGAATTGGTTTACTTGTAAGAAGAGGGAGAGTTTAAGAGTAAAATGAGATGCCCGGGAGATCCCCATTCTCAGTGAAGTTCAAAAACAGTAGTTGAACTTTGGATTTTTTAACAACATAACTTGCTAGCAAATGCCTTCTGTGCTGGTTAGATGCTTACACCCTACTATGATCGAGGTGCTCTTCTAAGTATGGTTATCACTTGACATTCGGGAGCATGAAATCAAACCTCACTAAGCTGACTCTGGTTGTCCTTGGATTTCAGAGGAATCTGCTCCTCCTGGAATTACATACTACTTTTGAAGTATTAAAGGAAGCATTACAGTTTGAGCAGACTGAGTCTAGACAGTGCTTTTCTGCATAAAACATTTTTGATGGTTTTGTTTTTTGAGGACTCATTGAACTGCAGGAGGTGACTGGGGAAGAGTGGGTAGGAAGTGCAAAGTTCTCCTCCTTCCTCACCCGTTTTCCTTCCCGCGACCTCCACCGTGATGGCACAACTCCTGTATGTGGCAGAGTTCTAAGAAACGATTGTGTGAACAAGTGAAATGGTAGGTACATTTTGGAGGTACCTACCAAAATTTGAGGAAATTTTAAAAGTCAGTTTTTTTCTCACAATGACCAAATACATAAACCAGCCACTGTGTCCATTTAAGCAGGTGTGTGGAAGTGGAGACTTACTGAAGAGCACATCGTTGGTCTTACCCTCCCCTCTTCCTGTATTTTCCTTCTGCCCATGCTTTTCTATGCTCAGAAACCATAAGGTGCTGTAGACTTTTGTTTTCCTTTTCAATTGATGTAGTTTTCAACTTTGTGCACTTCGGGGCATGGGTGGCAAGGGAGGTCTAACATAGCAAAGTAGTATGTGAATTTTTGTGTTGCTTTCTGAGGTGAATTGTGTACTTACCAGGAAGACCAGGTGCACTTTTTAATGATCAGATTGGAACCCAGCTGGTATTCTTACATACTTGATTACACTGCAGTTGCCAGCAGGAAAACAATGTACAAACATTTTTAAAAATGCATTTTAAATGAAGGGCATTCTGCTTCTTTCTTTTTTTTTTAAGTGGCAAAGTAAATCTCAATATCTCAAGTCTGGATTTAGGCAACTACATTATTAGGATTTTTTACATCATATCCCTGAGCATGTTGTCTAATTTGGTTTTTACCTAAATGTTTACTTCTACTTTTAAGGTTTTCTTAACATGGTCTGCTTTTGTAATGTCAATTTTATTAAACATCATATACACATTTTCATTCTTCTACTGCTAAAACATGTATTGTGTGCACTGTTAAATTTTAAGCATTAAATATTATTTCAACATAGCTAGTGTCTCTTTTTTAAAAATTTTATTTATTTTTAGAGAGAGGGGGAGGAGGGGAGAAAGAGAAAAACATTGATGGTTGCCTCTCGCACGCCCCTGAGTGGGGACCTGGCCCACAAGTCAGGCGTGTGCCCTGACAGGAGAACTCAAATAATCAACCTTTCTCTTTGCAGGACGATGCCCAACCAACTGAGCCATGCTGGTCAGGGCGCTCGTGGCTCTTTGGGTAAGTCAGGGCTGGGGTGCTGCACAGCCTTGATTGTGGTGGTTTTGGAACGAGTCTTCTGGCCATCGGGGTCTTACATCAGGTCATGTTCATACACTCAGTCAACAAATACCTACCAGCATCTCGTATGTGCCAAGAAGTGTCCCAGGTATGGTGATAGATGGATAACTAGACAGACACTTTCCTCAAGAAGTTTATTACCAACTAAGAAGGACAAACTTGAAAATAATTACAATAAAGTGTAATTAGGAAGGGCTATAAAACAAGTACACACATTGCTAGAGGAAAAGTTACCAAACTCTTTCGTGGAGGTCATTTTTGAGCTAGGACATGAAAGAGAGCAGGAATTTGCTGAGAGGCCAAGCACACGGTGAGTACAATGGTCTGGAGAACAGGCGAGCCCAGGGACCAGCATACAGTAAAAGAGTGAAAGTGAAGAGAGGGGAAATGAGAAAGGTCAGTGGGTTCTGGGGCATCATCCTCAACCGTGTGGATTTTGTCCTGAGATGAATCATTGAATCCTTTGAAACAGGAGAAGGGGACAAATTATTGTTTTGGAGAGTGCCCTGGCAAAGAACACTCGCTGTTGGTGCTGGAATATCCCTCTGTGTTATGTGCCTGTACATACATGCACTTACACATGAACACAGTACAGGCAGTAGGAACAGACCCTGGCTAACTACAGCAGAAAGGAAGTTTACTGGGTAGATATTAAGTACCTCACAGAATCTACTCATCCCGAGGAATTTGGGCATGAAAAATGGGTGTGAACCAAAGCAATGCTAACTGCAGGATTCCTGCCAACCAGGATTCAGTGTGCGGGTTAGAGACTGATTTTTTTACTCTCCTTGCTGCTTTGCCTCATTTGCGCAAGATTTCACATTCTGGATATCAACGTTCAGTTGGAAGAATCTGGGTCAAGAGCCCAGACTCTTAATTTGCAGGGGATAGAATGAGGGAATATCTGATCCTTAGACTCCCACGGTCCCAACAAAATCACCCAACTAGGGATTTCTCTTGTATGGGAAGGGTGTGCTGTAGAACAGAAAGAAAACAAATCCACTATAACGTAAATTCATGAGGTCATTAAAATTTGGAAGTAGGAAATGTGTGAGGAAACCACCTAATCTAGCATTGCCTCTGAGAATGACACCAAAAGAAGACTCAAGAAGGGCGTAATCACCAGCAGTCAACCTTTATTAGTATGTGCAGATGAACTGCTGAACAAAAGTCCCCAAGTTGCCCTGACCGGTGCGGCTGAGCAGGTTGAGTGCCAGCCTGCAAATCAAAGAGTCACTGGTTCAATTCCTGGTCTAGGGCGCATGCCTGGGTTGTGGGCTGGGTCTCCAGTGGAGACTGCACGAGAGGCAACCACACATTGATGTTTCTCTCCCTCTCTTTCTGAAGAAAAAAAAGTTCCCAAGTCATAGTGGCCTCAGTGTAGCCTTATGTATTAAATCATAGGGGGTAGCTTGCTTAGCGGTGGGGGGCTACTCCATTCAGCCATTCAGGGACCCAACTTCCATCCATCTGGTGACTCAGCTGTCCCCTACATCTTCAGAGTCTTCCCTATTCACTCAGTAGGTGGGGTAAGAAAGGAATTGCCCACTTCCACTCATGGTCCATTCCAGAGCCCAACCCCGTGGCCTCCTCTGACTGCAAGGTGGGCAGGAAAATGTACCCCAGGGAAAGAGGCTGATGTGAATACTGGTAAGTATTCGGCTTCCCTGAATATGCCCCATGAATCTTCTTTTCATAAAAATAAGTTTAAAATCGTGTGTCTGCTCTGATCTTTTAGTAGCTCCCCAGAGCACTGTGTTGGGAGGATTTTGAAGGCAGCCGCAGAGAAGCAGTTGCGAATTCTGGGTCTGGCGGGCAAAGTGCGCCATAGGCATGGGGGTGGGGGGTGCCACCTCTTGTGCAACATTATTTCTCATTTGACCCCCTTCTTGAAACTAAAGTCAAGCTTGTTCTACCTCTGAGGATGTTAAGTTGCAAAATTTTCTGCTCCTTTAGTAAAAGTAGCATGGGACTGAAAGTCACAAGATCTGAGTTTGCATTCACTTTTACTAGTTAATAGCTATGTGAACTCAAGCCAGTCTTCTACCTCCCTGAACCTCTCAAACGGAGGTTTCCTACCCTACGTCTGCCTACTCTACTACCTGCCTAGCTCACAGAGATATTAGGAGAATCAAGCAAGATAATGTAGTTGAAACCGTCTGCAAATCCTAAAGCATAATGCAGCCAAGAATACATTATAATAACTGTAATTTATTAGTCCTAAATCTCTTTCAAGCTTCACGAGGTTTTAGTATTGTGAGATGTGATGATTAAATACTTATGTACATAAGAACAAAAATTGTCATATCTCATCAGAACCATGGTTCGTTAAGCCCAATATTGTCATTGGCAAAGAAACTCAAGGGGACTCGAAAGGCTGCAGTTATTGTCCTCGATGTCAACTTCAAAGGCCAGTGAGAAAACCCGCCATGTTCTGATTTCCTTTAGCAGTCAATCATGACTTTATTCTTCATGATTTAATCTAACCTTTTAGAAAGTATGTTTCTATTATCAGCTTGTGCCCTCTTGTTCTCTATTTTTGAAGTGAAGCTTTATCTTTTCATTTATAGGCTTACTATGCTAGCCTCTTTCAGACTTCAAAGCAAGGGACAGAGGGATTTAATGTAAGGCTTTTATGAAAAAGAAAGGAAACCCAGGAATCTGTCCCAACAGCTGCACTGGCAGACTTGGTGGAAAGCCTGAATACATTTTTCATCCTTCAGAATATAATAAAATAATAGCAACCACCAAGCACTTAAGCATATGGCAAGGAATACCCTAAAGACTTGATATAAATGATCTCACGTAACTGCAAACAGGCTGAGAGGCAGGTTCTTATTTTTTCCAAATGAGACTCAGAGAGGCTAAGGAAGTCACCCAAGGTCACAGAGTTGCTAACTGTATTTGAATCCAAGGACTTGAACCCTAGAATGTGTGCTCTTAACTATTTGCTACGTTGGTTTCCTTAGGTCATCAAATATTTATGTCTAATTATTGTGTTGCCAATTTTGGTATTTACTTTTCTGCTTCTGCTTTCTGCCACTGCCCTCTTTTGGTTCATCTTAATTAAAAACATCCCAGGAGAGAGAATGATTTGGTCTATTTGCCACTGCTGAGTATGGACCACCCCCCGCCCCCCCCCCCCCTGCCCCCGCCAGCCACCCCCCAGCACTGTGCCTCCTTGGGTATAGGGGGTCTCATGACAGGCCACTTGGGCTCCCTTATATGGCTGTCTTTGGCAGATTCCTGGCCCTATTGCTTTTGGCAGGATGATGACATCACAGGATGCAAAGCAAGGCTTTTCAGAGAAACGCCTGTGGGTATGGCAGGCAGCTAGTGGTTTGTATCTCTGATTACAGTAGAGACTTCTGATCGTATTGCTCCTCCCCTTGCTGCCTGTGAAAT